CCTGCGCTGTAGCCTAACACTTAGGCTCATCCTGGACTGCACATTTCCAGTTAATACCTACTGCAAGTTCGGTGTGTACTACCTCTCTGGGTTGCTCGAGTAGTCGCTTACTTTCACATAGCTATCACTCATTAATGGACACTTTCCACTGGTTGTTGGCAAGGCGAGCAACATGTTCTGCCGCCGGATTTTATATATATCACTCAAAACATCTGTAATTTCATAGTATGGTCGCCCAGTTATGCAACTGCAAACTTTTCCAATTCAAACCGGTGTTGCATTGAAAGGTGGTCAGTCCGTTGGCGATCTTGACATTTTTTTGTCTACAAATGGATTTCAGCTCAACTATTTCATATAATTCACCTTCCCTTGCAGGAAGATAGCATGCAAATAGTAAAAACGAAAGTATAAGTTAAAATAGTGAGCAAATGCGAACACATAAAACTGTTCCTTAATGAGAAGAATCGTGAGCAAAATTTAAGAACATGTTAAAGAAGAGTTTCTGAGTTGTGCATATTGTATCACCAGTAAATGTTACTATGGTTCCTTGAATCAATCTAGAATTTGCATGGCTGCTTGACTTGACCGCTAGCATGAATTTTTGTCTTTCTTTTTTTTTCAAAGAATTGCATTCCATTTTAAGCAGCGCTTCAACCGATCCAAATGAAGACTGCGGACAGATTCAGCATGTAGTGAGATGTGACTGTGATTTCACATTTTTCCCTTAAAGTGCTCCTACTACCAGAAAAGAAAAAACGAACAATCTAAACTGAGAATTTGTACAATTAATACAATGAAGCACAGAAGCTGCTCAGTCAAAAGCAATCAAATCGGGTTCTTCGACTTCTGGCTGTGGATGCTGCAACGTTTCCGTGTGCCCGTCCTTCACCTGCCCATTTTGTCCGGCCAAGTGTCTCCAGTTCCTCGTATCTACCGGTATCGGTGGGAATCGCATTTTATCCTTACACTCCATATACAGCGATCGGCTATGGCAGGTGAGCTCGTGCAGCGCTGCTTCCGGAGCCGGCACAAAGTGACAACCATTGTACTTGCACCTGTAATAACACTTGACTTGTGCAAAAATGCCTGTTCAAAATTAACCTGTACCACTGGCATATCCAGAAAATCTTTATCTTCCCAGCACCGATGTCTGCATCGCCGACCGAAACAAAAAGCCGTACGAGAACAGGCAAAATTTCAGCCAAATTATAATCACAAGTTGCAGGGAGGGAGCCAGCTTCGTGTTTCCTGTTTTTACTTTTTTTTGACTTAAAACAACGCCTCCATCATCGATAAACTGGGACATACAGCTAACAAGTGGATGCATTGCACAGCAGGAAAAATGAGATTTTATCCATTTTGCTGTGTACGAACTGTCTGAAAGAGACCCAACTGAAGTGACCCATTGCAAAAAAAGATCAGCTTGCCTGGTGCCAGTAGGCGCGGCACGTTTATTCATTTATATCATCACCAGTTTCAAGTTAACCATCTCAGTAATTTC